TCTGGGCGGTCGAAGGTGTCTGGCTTCTCCTCGCAGAGCGGCCGTGAAAACACGCCGGGGAGTCCAGACCTGGCCAAACCCCGGCAAACTGCCCCCCTGGCCGCCCAGATGAGCCTGAAACCAGAAATGCTTTCCCAGTTAAAAATCACATAGACCAAAAGCGTCAGCCAGGTTGGAAGGCGGGTCCCCCCAAGCTCTGCCGGGTCTTTCCGACCGCGGCCAGACTCGGCACGTGCGCCGGCTGCTCCGTGGGTAGCAGGGACCACCGGCGGTTCGTGGCCGGTTGAGCGGAGACCGAGTGTGCGGTTCCCATCCACGGCACTGCTGTGGCGGTGGTGCCGGCCGTGGTGGTCTCTCCTGGAACTCGGCCTCTTCTCCTGCGGTGCGGTTTGCTGTGGAGAGGGGCGAGCTGAGCGGGAGGCACCAGACCCATCGCGCGGGTCTCCTCGCCTGCCGAGCGGCGCTGACGAAGCTGCCGTGTTCCCTTTCCTCCCTTCCTCAGCCCTGGTGATTAATGGTCACCTTCGGGTTGTTTTCTAGTGACGGCTCACATCCCGGATGGGCTGGGCCTGACCGCGTCACCCCGCAGCTCCGAGCGCTGGTGACAGCGGTGACGTCCCGGCTCACGTCCTGTCCCGCAGACCAAACTGGTCCCGGGAACCCTGAGGGGTTCCCTACGGCGGGACCAGGGACGGTGTCCGCGGGGGAAGTGGGTTTGAGCAGTGACCGCTTCCTCGGCGCAGGGACGTCTGCCTGCCCGCAGCGGTGGCACGTGCCCCGAGGACATCTGCCCTTGCGTGTAGGAAGTCGCGTGGTTTGGTGGCACTTTGGGGTCTTCGGTCAGCCGCGATGCCGCCTGCGGGCTCTGAGCCCGGATGGAGGTCCCGGGGATGGCAGGAATCGGGCGTTTTGGCAGCTGTTGCTGCCGCCAGCTCTGTCCAGATGTTCTCCATGTGTCTTGTTGTCTGAGCCGGCTCTCCAGCTGTCCTGAGGGACCCACGGGGACACCCTTGTCCCCTCTCGGCTCCTGAGCCGTTGAGGCAGGCGCGGGTGGGGCTGCCGAGGGGGGTTCCTTGGGCAGGCGGCAAACAGCCCCAGAGCGCGCGTGGCTGAGAAGGAACATGTCTCTCGCGTTTAAGGAGCCTTTATTGCTACAGCATTTAGGCGCTCGCTCCTTTGAAGTGCTTTGAAGCCGGGGAGCTTTCTGAAGAACCTCTTCTCTCTGAAGCATGTCGGGCTGTTTGCTGAGACGCCCGGCTGCCTTCAGCAAAATCTGCCTGCCAAGGCTTCGAGCACCGGCGCGGCTTCAAAACGTCGCTCGGGAGAAGGGCTCCGGCGGCTCGGGTCGGGGGTAAAGGCATCTCCGTCTTCTTTGCAGAGGACGGTCGCGCAGTACCAGGAGGAAGCGGAGCAGACGAGCTCTGCCCTGCGGAGAGCGGAGAGGAGCGTGGTGGAGAAGGAGGTGCAGGTGGACGAGCTGCAGAGACTCCTGGCAGGGATGGAGAAGGTACCCTGCGGCGGCGGTGGGGCTGGTGGGGTTAGCGGAGCTGCCTGGTCCCACTCCGCTGCGGGGGGTGGGGGGGGAACGGGAAAGCCCAGTGGTGATGAGTTTGGCAGTGCTCAGCGCAGACCCCGCAGGGGGGTCCTGGGTGGGCCGCAGGGTACCCGCCGTACGGAGGGGTTCGCTTCCCGACCAGGTTTGACCTGACGGCGTTGGGCAAAGGCAGCTGCTGGGCACGGCTGCGAACTGAGTGTCGCTGATTTAGACCGGCGTTTCTCAGGTCTCGAAGATCTGGTCGGTCTGTGCAAACTCTTCCAGGTATCCTGGAAACGAGTGCGCAGTCTAGACTTCAGCTGTGGTCTGCTCATAACAACGTTAAAGTCATAAATCTAACAGTGCAGCGTGAGCACACTGTGGTCTGGGACTGCGCTCCCCGGCCCGGCAGCGGGGAAGGAGATGGGCTGGTGCCTTGCCTGTATCCTTGGGGTAAAGGAGCGGGACGGCCGCTGTCGGTCATCGCTGCGGCTGCCCTTGTCTGTCTGTCTCTCGCATGTAAATTTAATGCTGGTGAAAACAACCCGCAGGTGGAGCGGGGAGGCTGAGCGGAGCCTGCCCGGCTCCCCGGGTGTTTGTAGTTCGCTGCGTCCCAGCGGAGCCTGAGGAAGCATCTGTTGCGACTTGTTTCCGTGCGCGTAACTCGGCCCCTCGCTCTGCCGCAGGAGCACAGGAGTTTGCTGCTGAAGATGAAAGAAGGCGAAGCAGAGCTGGCGCGGCTGAGAAGCGTGGAAGGTGACAAGCTCGCCGAACAAGACCGGTGAGGCTTGGCCTCCGGCTCGGCTGCCAACTCCGGAGCAAGCCCACGCCGCTGGGTCGGGGTGTCAGCTCGCCGGGGCATGACTGCACATTCCTGCGAAGGGCGTGCTTGCTCTCTGGCTTGCAAAACAGCACCCACCTCCCAAGAGCTTCCCAAATACCTCCCGCAGTTTTTGCTTTGCTCCGAGAGATCCGCAGCTCCGGAGTCGGGCTGCCCGGAGACCTCTAGCGGCCCCGCTGCCGGCTGGGAGCTCGGGGCAAGTCCTGCCCTGCTCAGGGAGCCTCCGGAGCAGCCGATGCTCCCCGTAATGTCGGATTCGTTCCACCCAGCCGGTATCCTTGTGCTCCAGGGGCTAATTGGCAATGGGTTGTTTCTGGAAGGCCTTGTTTGTGGCCTGACTCTTCCTGATGTTCCTGTGTCCCTGCAGTCTGTGGTTGCTAGTCTTTGTGGCTCCTGCCTGAATAGGCTTTGTCTCTGCCTCTCCTTACCTCGTCTGGTCAAAGTATTTCAAGACCTGTGCGGCTGTAGAGGAGACCCAGCCGATAAAAGCTGCTCTGGGCACAGCTGGGTGGGTGCTCCCTTTCTGGGAAGGCTCCCGATGGCTCCCGGACTCCGTCCTCTCCTTTTCCCAGGTCAGCCCAGCTGGAGAAGGAGGTGGCCATGCTGCGGGAGAAGATACACCATCTGGACGACATGCTGAAAAGCCAGCAACGCAAAGTCCGGCAGATGATCGAGCAGGTGAGAGGAGCGGGGCCGGGGCGGGAGGACTCGGAGGGGACTTAAAAAAAAAAAAAAAAAAAAGGGAAAGGAAAAAAAATAAATCTCTTAAGCTGCTTGGGAGCAAAGAATTGCTGGTTTGTGGGGCTGAGTCGCTTTGCAAACCAAAGGGACACAAGTTCAAAGGCAGCCCAGAGCCCTCTCCTGCAGCGGGGACTGACCCGGGGTGACGGCCCGAAGGGGGAGGGAATAAAAGGAGTGAAAAAGGAGTGCGGTGCACCCGGCTGGGCCTGCTGAGAGAGTTAAATCCCAAGCTGTGTGAGCAGAGGCTCCTTCACCTGGGGCTTAATTCTCAGTCTTAACTTGAGGCTTTTTCGGATGGGTTTTTATGCAGACCTTGGAGTGATGCGGTGGGTGGTAACGGGCAGAAGGGTGGCTGGCGAAGCTGCCCTCCTTCCTTGGCATTTCCCCAGCCCAGCCGTACACGAGAGGGATTTTCAGCTGCCCTGAACTTATCTCTTACAGCTCCAGAACTCCAAAACAGTGATCCAGGCCAAAGATGCCGTGATCCAGGAGCTCAAGGAGAGAGTCGCTTACTTGGAGGCTGAGGTGCGTCTTAGCGGGGCCGTTTCGGGGGATGCCCGGGGTCTGCTCTAAGCTCGCGCCCTCTCATTGAAACCTCCCGGTGCGACTGGCTTTGCACGCCTGCGGGTCGTGGCTGGGCTCCATCGCGGCGATGAGCTTTGCTCTGGGCAGAGCGGCCGGCAGCAAAGCCCTTCCCTTGCCCCGACACCCGCTTCACGTAGGAAAGCGTGCCCTCCGCAGCCCCGAGGGCTGTGCCGACTCCCCGGGCTGGTGTGATGGTTTCCAATGCAGCCGGGGCTGCGGGAGCAGCTGGGAACTCAAGCCAAGTCCAAAATAATCTCATCAAGCACATTTCTCTGGCAGCAAAACCCTTCTTGCTTACAAAGCTGCAGCTGAGCGTGTGCGTGTCAGAAATTAAAATTGCATTCCAGCCTCTAGGATTGTAACAAGTGTCAAATCTCTCCTTTTTTGGAGAAAAACTGAGCCTGCACTGGCACTTCTAGCGTTTTCTTCCCTCCTCGGTGACTTATTTTGCTAATCTCTGCATGGGGACGGTGTGCGAGTGCAGCCTGCCGTGAACCCAGGCAGAAACCAGATCCAGCGCGAGAGATCGTGTGCCGGTGGGTTTCTGTTGGGTGTTCGGCAGGTCTTACAAACCATCCCGGCTCTCCTTTGGTGAGCAGTCCCTACGGAGGGTGAGATTTCATTTCCCTTGAGAAAAAGCTGCCCCGTTGCAAGGGATTATACTGGAGCATTCCTCGGCAAGCGATCTGTGTGCCCGCAGCGCGCCTGTCCCCAGCTGACCGTCGCTAACCATGGCTCCATCTCTTGCAGAACCTGGAGATGCACGACCGCATAGAGCACCTGATCGAGAAGCAAGTCAGTCGGGGCAGCCACAGCTCCAGAGCGCGCTCCAAGTCGGAGTACGTGAGCAGGTACGTGGGGAGTACGTACCCTCCAGCCTGCCTGGCTGCTCAGCGCCTTCATCTGCAGGTCCACGTCTTACCCGAGGCAGTGGGGGATGACACTGGACTCGGGGTTGCTCTTCTGGAAGCACGTTGTATTATTTTCTCTTTGCAGAGAGGTCTCCTTTCCTGTATTCCTCCGTCAGGGGAGTACAGGGGAGCAGAGGTGCCTCCTGTGGGTGGTTCTGGGGGGAGCCATCACCCACCAGGGCTGGGGCAGGACCCTCTCCCTCAGGTTTTCACCCCAAACCCCGTCCAGTTCATGTGACTGACCAAACCCTTTCTCTCTTGCAGCAAAAGGCTGACGGGCCCCAAGCCGCTGCCTCTCATTCGAGTAGTGGAAACATGAGTTTTGAGGGCTGGTCCGAGCTGAAGACTCTCCCCTTGTTATCGTTGACTGGATTTCCCTGCTTGACTGCCATCCTCTGGCCTCTGTGCTCCCGGAGTCTCCCCGGACAGAGGGCTGTGCCCTGGAGAACTGTGGCAGCCGAGGACAGACGGAGCCGGGGCGGTCCTGGCAGAGGAAGGAGGTTTGCGAAGCGTCCACATTGCTGTCCCCACTGGGTCCCAAGGTCACACGGATGCCAGTTTGGAGGCTGGGACCAGCCGGCCCCGGCGTGGACACGGTGGCTCTCTGGCTGGAGAGCCAGGCTCGCTTTCCCTGGTCAGTCCTGGGTTTGCCGGGGTTGCTCTGCGAGAGCAGCCTTTGCTTCTGAAGGGCCTTGTCCGAACAGAGCCCCCCCTTCAGCTTGCAGCTTGCCAACATGGACTTGGGGCTTAACCGTTTTTTGGTTTAAAAAAAAAAAAAAAAGGAAAAAAAAAGAGTCACTTTTACAAAGAAGAAAGAAATCCTCCTGAAACCGGACTCCTTCCTGCAACAAAGCCCAATGCGTGACAAGTTGGGAGCCTCCACCTCCGATATCTCCAGCACATATCTGGCTGCTCCGGATTTGGCAAAAGGCTCACGTGGCCAAAAATCAGTGTATCGCCGTGCTTTTCCCAAGAGCGTAGAGAAATTGTACCCAACGTACGTGTAGTGTTTAAACCCAGAGGCTGTTTGGTTTGTTACCTGTATTTATTTCAATAAATTATTGGTGTCTTCCAATGATGTGGTGACAGGCACGACTGCTGCTGTCCGCCTCCGTGGGAGCGCAGTTGAGGACTGCCTGTCCCATGTTTGAACTGGAAAATACCAACCAGCTTCCTCTGGGTTTGCCAGTTATTACCTGTCTCGCGTGCGCCCGTGCTCAGGAATGGAGCTTGGGTACGTCTAGAGGGAAGTCGCTGGCATTTGTACCGACCACGTTAATACAAAAATACACGTGCCTTAATCCCTCCGCCTGCAGTCGATTGAATAGATACAGTGGAAACATACTGGGATGGGGGGTGGATTCGGTGGTTGGGGCTGTGCTCACTGCTTCTCGGGGTGGTTGCATGCAGCTTCTTTTCTCTTCTTTTTGTTCTTGCTGGCGTGACAAACTCTGCCAAACACCACACTCCCCCTCCTGCGCTCCCCGGGAGTGAGCTGATGCCATGTCCAACACCGTCAGTGCTGACTCCTGTGGTGGTGACCACCGAGGGATCTGATGGCTGCTTCTGGATTGGGATTAAACAGTCCCTTATGGCTGCCCTCTCCCCTGTGCTTGGGGCATGGCGGCTCTCTGATCTCCTCCACCTCTACATTCCCCCCTGGAACATCTCCGAGGGCTTCAGGGAGCAGCCCTGCTCATGGGGCTGGAGCCTGCTCTGCTCCATTCTGGGGAGACCCCCCTGCAGTGCCGCCTCCAGCTTGGGGGGTCCCAACACAGGAGAGACATGGACCTGGTGGAGCGGGGCCAGAGGAGGTCCCGGAGATGCTGGGAGGGCTGGAGCCCCTCTGCTGGGAGGACAGGCTGGGAGAGTGGTTTTGCTGCTGGGCGTTTGCTGAGCTGTGGTGGGCACCGAAATAGGGTGATCCTGCTGGGGGCTGCGTTGGGAATTTAGGAAAGAAAGTTGGAGAGGGATTTTTTATGAAGGCGTGCGGTGATGGGATGAGGGGGAACGCTTTGACACTGACAGAGGGGAGATTGAGGTGAGATCTGGGGAAGAAATTGTTGGCTGTGCGGGTGGTGATCCCCTGGGGCAGGTTGCCCCGAGAAGCTGTGGCTGCCCCATCCCTGGAGGTGTTCAAGGCCAGG